AAGAAATATCTATTCTGTGTCATATCAACAAAAATTTTAATTTCAATGTTCAAATCAATATGACTTTAGTTATTAGTGTTTTGGTAAGTATATATAAACAGTATCTGTTAACTTATCATTGCCAAGTTCTAAGGAGAAATGGAAATAACTAGTTTAAGTCAAGTAACTGTATATTAAAATAAAGTATCTTTTTAAAAATATGCTAACAGGATAAATGTTTTATGTCGTCTGAAACTTGTAAGTTGAGTGTAATTTCATTTCAGTTTTATTGTTTACATCAAGGCTCGAACTCCGTACCCATAACTTTAAATGCTTGAATTTCAGAAGTGACTAACTTTTACAAAGCGTATGAAACTTATGTTTGTGGTTTATGCGAGTTTGTCTCTTTCTTGAAAAGCGTTATTGGTTATTTACCTTACATTTTCAAGACTCAATATACCCAATAGCAATATTATGTGTTTACATTTTTTAAACAATTTACAGTGTTTCAGACTTTCTTTATTCCCATTCTTCACAACATTTTCTTCCAAAATATCAAAACGTCCTCCAAGTATTCAGTTTTTTTAAAAAAAACCATCAACGCAATATTTATCATTTGAAAAGAATTCCATTTAGATGATAGTAAGGATGTCGATCAGTTAAGATACTACAATGGTTACAACATGTCACGTAAAGTCAATAAATTACTATTTAATTGCTATTATAGGTAGTGTGGATTACAAATATTATCTAGTCTTACTACCACATGTTGAACACCCATGATTTCAGCGCGCGATATTACTTCAAATAATTTTATCCAACTATAATCAAACCTAATGCAATTTTTTATTTAATAAAATCGGTTGACTAGATGAAATGTGAAGTTTGACAAATGTTGTTACATTTTTTAACAGTGTTTTTATCATCACTATTAGGATCTGGACTTTACCAATGACATGACCCTTCTATCTCATAAATAATAATAAGTGCAGATTAATACCAGTCACCGCAACAGTGGGTCTCAACATTTACTAGGGAAAATTCATGATCTTAAAATACGATATGGTGATCACCAACCAAATCACACTTAATGACCAAGTTCTGGAAGGGGTGAAAACCGTTACATACCTAGACAGTACCATTGATAAACAGGGAGGATCTGATGCAGATGTAAAGATACGAATTGATAAAGCAAAGACAATATTACTGCTAATGAAGGACATCTGGAACTCGAAAGAATTGTTAGACAAGATCAAAGCCGATATTTTCGACACAAACGTCAAAATAGTTATATTGCGTGGAGCTGAAACTTGTAGAAATACTACAACCATCACCGAAAGTGTACAAATATTCATAAACTGATATCTACACAAGACATACTAGCTCCTTTGACCAAAGACCATCGGTAATAATCTACTGTGACAGGGAACATACAAGTTACTGGCAGAGGCGGAAGTTAGGAAGTGACTCTGAAGGTGGATAAGACTCGCTATAAAGAAATCATCAAATTGCATAACAAGATAAACTCTAAACTTGTATCCTCAAAGTAAGAAGACAAGCGTCAGACCAAATAACCCTGACTAGTAATCAATAAACAAGTCGAATTAGACCCGATCTATCAACCTATTCGATGGAGGTTGATTAACAGCCCGATAGAAAGTAAACGTTACAAAATAGCCGACTTGAATAAAAGAACGGATGAAGACAATAAAATTTACAGGGATAATCACTCATCATCAGAGCTACAAGAACGGATTGATGTAAGAGTCATGTAACAACTAAAAAGTTTACTTCTACATGAAGTACGCCACTAGTGAGCACATAGTAATTATCAGTACAGGGTTTTGGAGATTATTAAGTTATTGATTGAGATCATGGACCGACCGACGACTAGCTTCGTGAGGGAATTCTCGGAGTTCTAGTGAGAAGCCGTGACAAGTGGAGCTAATCCGTGTCGGTTAGAAACAGGTATCTGCCTCAGTACAATGGAAGATGGTCGCGCATTTTCGTGGATTGGTTGATGTTAGACACTAACACCACTGGATGCCGGCCAGCTCAGTGGTCCAGTAAGTTAAGCGTTCGCGCGCGCAACTGAAGGCCGTGGGTTCGAATCCCGCTGGCGGGACCGTGGATGCGCACTGCTGGGGAGTCTCATACTAGGACGACATGGCCGTCCAGTGCTTCCAGGTTTCCAAAGGGGGTCTAACATCAGTCGGTTCATGATCTCAATCAAAAACTTAATAATCTCTATAACCCCAATACTGATTATTTTGGTTAGGATAACTTCATTACTGTGAATAAACTATCATAATGAGTGCTTATTATAATGATTTTGGGTAGTAACGACTAACAATAGAATGTAGAAATTAATTTGCTAAAGCTACTGAAATAAAATTAAATGTACAATGATAAAATTTACCCACTACTACCACTCCATTCTAGCTTATTTTATAATATCTTGATATTTGAAGACTTGGATAGAAACAGCTTACTTATATCAAACTGGATTAAACATACACGTTTTGGATTCAACCATTGTCATAAAAAATTATTTCCTTTGTAAATTGCTTTTAGGCAATCTGAAGTTTTAAATAAAAATAGTTATACAGTGTATTGTGTTTTTCAATGACCTATCTCGTTAAGTTAGTTTATAACAAAATCAGACTTTAAACTGTACGATTTATAACATGAACTAATTTCTGTTTAATAATCATTGAAAATCTGAAAGTGCTGACATCTGTCACATCCTATCATAGGATATTTCAACAGTATGCATTCATGAACATAGTGGAGATCGGACCCAGGACTCTTATGTTTCATGGATATCCCTTAACATTTTAAACCACTGATTCAGCATCTAATCGTTTGCATTTTTAGTTTAAAACCAATCAGTTTCTAATTAATCTCTTACCAAAACAGTGATCGCATTCTCACTAGTGATTTCATTTGAGCTAAATTCTCAAAGTTCTAATAATAACTATTAAATATTAGTGTTTTACCATAGCTATAGTGAGATATCTATCACTAAAAACTATGGATGTTTTTTCTTTCAGCTCATTTTTGTAAATACACACCACTTGATTTCAAGCAATTGATTTGAAAGTAACGTGTCGGGAGTGAAGTTCAAATTCCTTAACTCAATCACCAGCAAACTTGTAGGTGCCTAAAACTGACGACAAATATGTCCAATGCTTTTTAGCTTTCATTAGCTTTTCAGGTGACCTCAGTTAACCTTGAAATGTCACCACATTTTACGATTCCCAATAAACCACCTAGATTAAAGCGGATTAGATACAAAAGAACACAACTATATAATGAGGCGTTCATTTGCAATATAATATCATAGATCACTACCTCACTACCGTCAGCAACTTCATTTATTTGTATCATTTGGTCTTGCTCCATATTTTGGACTTTAAAATATTTAAAACTCCACTTTTTTTCTTATCCTGTTCTCGAATCGCTTATACTTTGTCAAGACGCTCAGGTGTACATCTTTCACTGGTATACGACAGAGAGTTATGAGAGTTATTGGATATTCTGTAACTTTCTTCTCATTTCCTTGAATATTCAGATATTATTTATTTACTAACTCTTAATTATGCTATCTTGATTGAATATGTACATGTTGACACATGACAATTTTATTTGTCCCAATAACATATTCTGTCGGCTGTCTGGCGATTCCCTCTATTTACATTAACTTAGATTAGGATTTGCAAGATAGGTCCTGTGAAGAAATCTTTTAATCCAATCACCTCGGTCATTCTTGCTAGAGTGTTACAAAATAACTCGGTTGATAATAAATATATTGAGTTAAACAAAACATAACTTTCATTATTTTCGTTTAAGACACTTTAAAGAGATATGAACTAAATTAGGATGAAAACACTTTTATCCGAATTCAATTAGGTAACATTTAAAATATACCTTCATATAATAGTTATATATCAAAAAACTTTTCTCAGCTCAAAAGAATACTTTTACCGTAAGTGATTAGAACTACTCAAATAGAAAGTGACCTAGAACGGTTATTGACAAACTAATTAAAGATACTTGTGTATTCAACAGCTGATTCATTAATCAAACGTTACAAGTATATAGTCTCTCCATTGCAATACCTAAACTGAGATCACAACAACTTTATTTTACAAGGTTAAGAGTACATTAATCTTATCATTTAAGCAATACTCGCAATTTGTGACGATATATTTGTTTCACCTTTCTGTACATTGTTTCAAATGTACCTAGAAGTTTACAAAAGTCAGATTTCCAATATCGAATCATTTTATATTTTGCTAGAATATAACAAACGATTTTCTTAAATGTTATTCATCAATTGCCATCAGAATAATGAATTACCTATCGAAAACAATATGGTACTATGTATGCTTGGTTTGATTATTAGCGTATAAAGTAAACGATCATATTGGGTTTGTATCATTCTTGTAGCCTTCATAACCATCACTGAGACTCTTGATGCTCTACCCTTCTTTAATAAATTATCTACATAAAAATTCCTCAACATTTCATTAATTCCCAAAGAGGGATTTCCAATCTTCGTCATAACATTTAATACTTCAGTTAGCATACTCATTGAACAAATTATGTACGCTAAAACGCCAGGTAATCAGATAAATATGAAATGTTTTACAATAAATGAAATCAAAAATTCTTGTTTATTGGTTAACATAAATAATCATCTGGTTTAAGTTAACTTTCCAAAAGATCAATTATTTCAAGATTAGAACAGACCGATATTTGCTACAAATATATTTTGAATAAAATAACTTGGATGCAAATATTTCGTTTCATGTTCAAATACTAACATCCGAGTGACTAACAGTCATTTTCAATTCAATCGAAAGAACAACCTCAGAAATTGATTAATTCTTACTCATCTAAGTTTGATGTACGCATTCAAACTCTTTATAACCATGAAAATCGTAACAGTCTGAAAATGATAAGAGCATATTTAGTAAAAAAATTTTTTTTTTTATTTGTTTTTCACTAAAACTTACCATAAATACTGTTGGAGCTATACGTTCATCAAAATTACAATATTGAAATACTAAATATTGAAAAAATCCTGAATCAAATTGACACCCAGGAAAATGTTTAGCAATTAAACAACGAATTTCTGGTTCTGTAAAATTACTAAACATACGTCGACATATTGATGAATTTGGTGCATCACCTTCAATTTCAGCAAAAATATTACTATCAACTGGACCACGAAAACCAATCTCATTAGTTGGTAGTAAAAATGTACAAAATATGACAACTAAAGTGATTGAATGCAAATTTGTCAGTAATGAATAAACTGAAAATTTATACAAATTCATTGGTATTTAAAATAATCTTCTATACCGTTGTAATAGGGATAATTGATATAAATGAATGAGTAAATCGTAGAAATGATTTTCTGTGGTAAATGATTCAACTGAATTTCCTAGAAAGCAAAATAAAAAGAAATCGAGAAGTAATAAACAATTTACAAAAATAAGATAAACTAAATCTTTTTGATAAACCCACACATCAAGCTTGAGATATCGATTTAATTGTCATGATTTCTATAACAAAGAAGATGAGTATTATCGATCTAGTTGTGACTAGTTTTAAAGATGATATTGTAATAAACTACGAACTAACGGCCAAATAATTAATAACCAACGGAAGAGAATTGAACATAAAAGCAGAATAATTGGATAGTTTACTATTCTAATTGAATTAGGTCTTTGGAATATAGAATAAAACGGTCCAGAAAGATCAGCTTATGAAAGCTCCTAACCAGAAATTGTCGAAGAAGCATGTTTAACTGGAAAAAATTTTGTATGAGAACAACTGAAAAGTGTACAAATAACCTCATGGATTTAGATATTACCACAAAGTAGTTATTTATAGACATTTCGAAAATCTTATTGAAAAGTTCGCATTGAAAACGTGTATACATGTGTAATATAACAGTTCACAAATAATTTACAACCATAATAATCAATTTCTATACATAACACCCTGAGAGAGAAGAATTCATAGAGAACTCTGAAAAACGTAATAATTGTATCTAAACTGTACATACTATCCTATTTTATTTGTTTTCTAACAACAAGTAATAACTTCCATCACCTGTTTCTGACTAAATAAAAGTGATCTAATAGATTCTCAAGGTCATCTTAAGTCATTTAAACCAATCTCTATAGTTATATGCAAAGATGAATGGTGGCTGGCAATAAAATCCAGGACGGACGTTTCATCCCATTTAGGACTCGTTAGTTGGATGTACCTACATCCCACAGTTGATGTTCACTTCGAGACTCCGACCTAGTACCGTCTACTTCAAACTCCATCACGCTTAGCTACCTAGTCCAGATAGTCGCTTATAATGCTTTTGACTTAAAGCAACATCGAGGCAACCCGTACTGGATGCACAGATATCAATAAGAGACTGATCTATTGCAGTCCTAAACATCAATCGGAAAATTTAAACAAACAATACAAAAATGAATAATCTCTATAGTCCAAGTTATGTTACAAATAATAGACAAAACTTTATTATCGACCGGCATTTAAAATTACCATCTGAAATCTCTATGCTTTGTGAAGCTAGACTAGCCAATAGCCACACTAGCAAGAGTTCTAATGCTACTCCGTGATTAGTCCAATTTAACTATTTCGGGAATGAGATAACTACGCACCATTAACATTGGAAGATGGTTGTGTTTTATCATGAGTTGATTGAATTCAGACATATAAACCATTAGATGATGACTGAATGGTCTGAAGGTCAAGCTCATACCATTAAAACAATTAGTCCTTTTGATAAATTAAAATAGTGTAATAAAAAACAAAGAATATCAGAACTATGTGATATATTAGCGCAATACATTTCGAACAATCTGATCACACATATACTTGTTAAGAACATTTATATATAAAAATAAAATGTCACATAGTTCTAATAATCTTCGTCTTCTTATTACACTCTCTTAACATTAAGCCTAAAATGTCCCAGTTTCTATTCCCTTGTAGGGTTGTGAATACTCATCTTTGAACAGCACCATGTTCGGAAAAAAAACATCTGTACAGTCTTTCTTTATTTTTAATAGTTATCTATGATTAGTACGTGGTATAATCTACTTAAACTAGTTGATACGATAAAAATTAGGGCAAGTATAAATTTTCTTTATATAAAGGAAAATAATAAACTTCCATTAAAGTTTTATATACCTTTGATATTGTTAAATATTTATGAATAAATAAAAAAAATTAATAAAATAATTCATTCTTATGTAATACTTCAACTAATTTCGCTTCCTTTTTAAAATTACAAAAAAATTAATATTTCATTTATGGTACACATATTGTGGTATGGGTTACTTATATCTACACAAGTAGTATATGATGGTGGTCAGGCATAGAATGTATTTCAGTAGAAAATCGATAAGGAAAGAACGAGAACGTAACGCAATTGGTATGAAAATGCATGAACATCGAAATCTGAGACAATGAACTGATATTTGTAAAAGGAACAGTCAAGTTTGAAACGATGGATTGATATTCTGCAAATTAACTATTTACTATATGGTTCTCAGATTTTAGTGAGATGCTATGTAATTTCGTGTCAAATACATCCGATTGTCCCCGTTTGTGCTCTTTTTCAATACAATATCTCTTAATATAATTTCTTGTAGGCTAATTTTACTAAAATTAAATTCATGTTAGATGTTTGACTATTGAAATGAGAAAATAAAAGATTCTATGATTGAAAAAAAAAAGACTGGAATTTTAAAAAAGTGAATAAATAAAAAATCCTATCCTACAATTTATTCAAGTAGACTCTAACATTGGGTTTATTCATCCATTTCATCGGATAAAAATAAACTTATAAAGCTCAAATTCACTTGGTGTTGTTTTACTTTTATCTTCCTATTGTTATTTAGGACAGTAAATGATCAGTCTCATATTGGCATATGTGTGTACTTTGCGGATTGCCTCGATATTACCTTCAGTCACAAACATTTTAGGCAAAGATAGACAGTGACTAACAGTGGAATCCAGGACGTATGTTTCGTTCTATTTGGGACTCGCCAACTGGATGTACCTGCATCTCAGAGTTGAGGCTCACTCCACTGCTAGCCACCATCCATTTTTACTTATAAAGTTCATATTTTAGAATGAATAAAAAAACTGTATTTATTTACCTTGTTCGTAGGAGTTTTACTTTATTTAAAATTGAATTTTAATGTAAAATGACTACAGTTTTTAACTGCTTTGACGAAATAATAAACATTTTATTCTACAATATTCTCCAAGGGAAAATATTATTAATATCATACGAAATCAAGCTCGTAATCTTGTAGCGAGCGAGGCACATTTTTCCATTGAATTGTAACCCATCTTTTCAAGCAGAGTCGGATTTTGGCTAACAGCGAAATTTAAAGTGTACGTCTTATCTACAACTGAAAGATCTAAACCCTTATCGTTGAATTTGTACTAATCTACAGTTTTGAACTTATGTTAGTTCGTCTCATTGGCCAATGATTATCCTATTCGATTGGTGGATAGCTACCTTGCTTCCAACTCTATGGACTCTGCAAGTCACAACAAGTCGTGAAACCTAAAGTCTTCACCTCAATGTCTTGAAAGATTATATATCTTTGTGTTTAAGAAGTCTCATACGAGAACTAAATCCCACTGTGGTACTCAGTTTCAATACTTGTATATTTTTTTATACAAATAATCTCCCAAAAGATTCTATTTAAAAGGTGCTAACTAATAAGCAAATAGAACCTCTTAGCTTCGTAATTTTTTAAAGTCAAAACTCGTAGGTATTAGACAACAAAAATCTTGAAAATTTAAGGCCACTAACTTTACTGGTCTGTGTATTAGTTCTAAACTACTGATATGTGATATCAAGTAGTCAAGACTAATTAAATACAAACTCTAGAATGATGAAACTTCTATCTTCTGCTCACGGATAATAAATGTGATCATGTTGATTGTTACTTATAGTATCACTACGAATTTTACGCTTATTTCAAATTACCCCAGTTGAGCTCTAATGAGCTACTAACATCCATATTATAGGATGTTAAAAATGTTTTTATTAGTAGTAAATCCACTTAATCCTAACAGTTTGAACTCAGTTTCATCTGTTTTTATTCTAGCACACAGGCAGCATCTCCAACTTACACAGATAAAACTGTACCTGAAATTCAATTACATAAGCCTATATTTGATGAATTACATTACTGTCCCTAAAATTCACTTTAATTCACATTGGGTAAAGAGATATTAAAAATGATAAATGAACTTCGAAACTATCATCGAGTCTGTAAATATGCCTGAAATAAATAACATTAATCACTAATTCTTAAATAATATATTCTCTGTCAATATGTAAAAATTTTATGAAGTATTCATAAGTAATATGTTTGATATCATTCATTATTATTTCATTATTCCGAAACTATCTTGAAGGTAGCCAACAAGATTTTTACGGAATTTGTCTACGGTTATGTAATAATTGATAAGGTTAAGATGGATTCCCCATAGAAAACAATCAAGTTAACAGATTCATATGTAATAAGAGGTCAACCTCTTTTTCCCAATAGTCGCTCAATTTCGTGGATTAGTTGAAGTTAGAAATTAACACCGTTGGATGCCGGCTCAGTGGTCTAGTGGTTAAGTGCTCGCGCGCGAAACCAGTAGGTCCTGAGTTCGAATCCCGCAGAGGGCGAGGTCGTGGATGCGCACTGCTGAGGAGTCTCACAATAGGACGAAACGGCCGTCCAGTGCTTCCAGCTTTCCCATGGTGATCTAGTCTCAACTGACTCATGATCTTAACCATTGAAAAATAAGATTTTTCCGAATAATATAAACTAACAAAAAATTAAATTACTTTCTTCATTAGTAATTTAAAGCTTACTAACAACAACAACTCTTGGTCTGTGATTATAAAATAAATATGGTAAATTATGAGGTTCAAAAATATTCACAAATCCCTTACACTAATAATAATAGTGCACTCACTGCTAGAAAATTCTGGAAATTAATTCCCCGAGTATCTAATGAGAAACTGTGACTGATGGAGTTCAATTATATCGGATGCGTGACAGTAGCCTTCTCAAAGGCACTGGAAAATGATTGATCTATTTGTCGAAGTCGCTCAAGATAAACCTAAAAAATTCTGGTTTTGATTCTCAGGGAGTTCGTAGATAACTACTGGTGTGGATTCTCATACTGTGAAGAAATATCCCTTCAGTGCTTCGTGATTTTCAGCAGTTTTCAATCTAAGATCAGCCCATGGTTTAAACTATGAAAACCAATTATTGTTTGGCAAAAA